GCAGGTGGCTTGAGGCTGCAGACCTTGACGCTTAGCATCTAATTTTGGGCTAAGAGGCTAAAAAGGATGTTGTGTGATTTGTGTCCCGTATTTGTTCAGTACCTCTGAGTGAGGACACTTTGAAGTCTTGCTTAATTTGGGGGTCACGATTCCCAGTCACAGGTGCTCTTCGTGTTTGATGGTGTTTGTTGGTTTATGGCTCACTGTATTTGTGTTCACGTTATGCTTATGCTTTTTCACCTTTGCAGATTTCCACAGAAACCTCTCTGTTGCCCCTTTGAGGCTTGTGCTTTCCTGTTGTCTGTGGCGTTCCTCACTTTAGCGTCTTGAGGGTTTTTGTGGTCTCAGTAAAGATAAAGTTGTGCAACAGACTTGCGTTAATTGTTTGCGAATGGCGAGAAAACTATTTTTCCATCAAATCCAAACTGGATTACTGTCCGCAAGATGAGCAATAAGATCAGTCCTGCTGAACTGCGAAGGCAACACAGGAGAAAACCTAAAGTTAAAATGTACTTTTCTTCTTTTAAAACTTCACATTTTTCTAGAAAACAGACAAATGATGTGGTTTTGGAAAAATCTATACAGAAGCAAAAGCACCGCACTTCTCATTCTGTCTGCTAAGTTGGATTTTATCAGATAAGCAAAACCAAACAGAATCCCAACGATGCCTTCACTGTCCGAATTTTTCAAAGAATTTCAAAAAGTTCTATGTTAGAGATAAGCTTCAATATTAATAATATGTCTGAAGTTTTAAAATGAAACATGTAGGTGTAATCATGAGTTTATTTCAAAAGAACAGCAGGAAGTAAACAAGCAAGGCTAAATCAGTTTATGAAAAATGTTTCAAATGAAAAAGTGTGGCTGTCAAATGACACTGCAGAACGTTTTAAAAAGAAAATTATCAAGTTATTTGGAAATTACAGAAAGCAAATAACTTTTGCTAATGGCCACTTCCAAGAGCAGAATGTTTATTTTTTTGTCTTGTACTTTTTCTCACTTAATTTATATTATTACCAACGCTGCTCTTCTCATATTAAAGTTGACTATTTCCTCTTACTTCTGAATGGTCCTAAATTAGTTTAGTTCTAAGTTATTATTGAGCTTTTCTGCATTCAGTCTGGGCGTTCAGATGTTTCTTCCTCAACTTTGGCAGTGAATCAGTGTTCAAGGCTAGTAAAGTAATGAATCCAAGCACAAAAAAAAATAAAAAATAAAATAAAAAATCCCAACTACTCTTTAATTTGCTTCAAGTATGACAAAGAATTTCCATCAGGAGCACAGACAAAAAAAAATGAAACGCAGTTTAATTTACCACTGAGGCAGACGGGTTTTTATAAAGAAAAGAACTGTTTACTGAACTTCATCGGCGAACCAACAAAAACACCCTCCTAACCTCCACTTAAATTAATCAAAAACACACAAACTGCACTGTACGTGTTTCATTGCCACCGTCAACACTCATTCTGCCAGCCGACATTAACGTCAGGGGTAAACTAATCACAGGCTCTAGTGTTAATCTATGTGATAAACCAGATAAATGTGAGCCGTTAGAGGTTGGCGCTCTTATTTTCTTCATAATGTGAACTCGTTCAGTGAAAACCCTCAGAGCGCCTCGTGAAACTATTCATATCCTCTGAACTTTTCGTGCATCTTGCTACACAACAACCTCAAACTTCTGAATTGTTTGGGGGAGTTTTCTGTGACAGAATAACACAAAGTAGTACATAACTCTAACGTGGAAGAAAAAAAATGATACATAAACATGATCTTTGACTGTATCTTACAAATAAAAAGTGTGGAATATTTGTATTCGGCCACACCGAATCAGTCTTTGTTTTGACTCAAACTGTTCTGCAGTGGTCGCTGCAAAATAACTACGTCAGAACGAATGAGGCGAATCTAAGAAATCTTTTTATCGCAGACTTTCAATTTGATTCGACGTGAACTTTGACTGGACCCTTCCATAACATGAAGATGTTTTATTCTGCTGCAGGATTGAGTCTTTTACAGCCTCTGATTGGTATTCCTAAAATACTCTCACATATTTGGAGTTATTCGTCCTCCCATCAACTCTGGCCAGCTTCCATGTCCCTGTCAAAAACAAACAAACAAACAAAAAACAAATCCCTATTTTATACATTTCCATGTATTTCAAAAAATAATTAATTTTGGTCTCATCCAACCGGAGCACCTTCCTCCATATTTTTACATTTTTTAAAACCTACTCCTGCTTTGAACTTCTCCACAAATACCCACAAACGTTCACTAATGTTTGCTGACAAACCTCTGAGGTCTTAACAAAACATCTGCACTTTAAACTTATTAAAAAAGATTCAAGTGCTGAAGCTAAATAGTTGTGGTCAATTTTATTTCAGGGTATCAGACTATGGGGGTTGAATACAAATATCAGAGCGATATCCTGTTAGGTTTATGTGTTTATTTTTATTTGGTGTAATACCTGAAAGTCACAGTGGGTGGCGTCGTGTCTGGTTAAACTGAACCCAGCAGAAAAGTATCTGAACCGTACTCCAATCTGGAAGGTGGCGGTAAAGCACCTGATGTTGTTTGTTATCCGCCATAAAAACAGAAGAAGAAGAGGAAGAAGAGAAAGAAGAAGAACCAATCAGCAGGTGCGCTGATAGCCATGTTGATAGCAAGGAAACAAACGGGTTTTTGAGCGTCGTCGTTGTTTGTTTTTGATTGTTGCGTTGCGCCAATTATGTGAACCTTTTGGTTGTAGTAAGCCGACTCTGAAATTGTGCAAACTTTAAAATTTTACAGTTGAGATTGTAAAGTTACAAAAACAGAATAAATAAATAAATAAAAATCTGCAGTATAAATACTTTTGCAAAGCACCGTGTCTGTCATGATGCTGCTCCTCTATAAAGGAAAAGACTCAATAAATGCTTACAAGAACATGCATGTTGAAACAATAAATTTAACATTCAACCTGTTATTTAAAAAAAACCTCTAAGGAGCAGGTCTGGATACATTAATGCCACCAAAACTATAAAGCAGTCGATTCAGTGCTTTCCATAAACAGAGCTTGTTTTTATCATCTCTAAGTGCTGCTGGAGGAAAGGATGAATCATGAAGAATATGATCTCGTGTGTGTTTTCATGGTTTGGGGTGAACAGGGTCACGTTGTTGGAAAACATATTGTACCATGCCTGTACCCGAAGACGCCCCCACCCACAGTGATGTGACAGGAGGCAGATCGTAGAGCCGGGGCGATGAAGGATCACTGGCTCCTCACACAATAAGGCAACTATAAGAAAATAAATGTCTCATTGTAAGGGCTCTAATCCGTCATGAAGGTTTTTTTTTCCACAACTCTGCTGGTGAATGGTGGCTCTGCCGAGCGAAACTTTTATACGGCCAAGTTTTGCGAGGAAAATAAATGGGTGCTTAATAAATAATTTGAAAAGTCTTTCCACGTTGAATGTGACAAAATGGAAACTGAAAACCAAAACAAATCTTTTCGAGGAAAACCTTTCATAAGTGTACTCTCCCTTAAGCGAATACTTTGATGTGCCGTCTTTTGGCTGAGCATTGATTTGCAGAAAGGTCACAAAGAATCGGAAGAATCTTACTGTACAAGAAACAACCGTTTCAGCTCAAGAGATTTCAAACTACGGAAGTGAAGACAGTAATCCGCGGTTTCTTTTCCCCAAAACTGAACAGAAAGACAGGACTGAAGTTGGTGGAAAAAGGCCAGCAGGGTTTACATGGTTTCCACTGTTGTCCCATTATGTCCTACTCTTCAGGTGTGCTTTGGAAAGCTAAAGATGAAAAGGGATTTTATGTTTCTGCATCACAGAAACTCCAAATAAGCATAAAAAAAAGCAACCACAGAATTAAGTTTTTTCTTTTATTAAGAATTTTAGACCAGTGGTGTCCAACAAAAGTCCTTAGGAGTTGACGTTCTGCATGCTTTATATAGTTCCTTGGTGCAACACGTCTTAATTAGTAGAATGCTGAAGAGTTTCTTCAGTCACTTGAATCAGTTGCATTCAAAGGAGGAGATCCAGACATAGTCCAGAACTTAATTTTACCTTGAGGAAAACATGCTGAGTGTCTTCAAAATCCGCTTGAAGACAGAGAAGGAAAATATTACCAAATGATGATTTGGAAAGCTGGCAGACTCCAAATAAAGTTGAAACTAAATCAAAGTTTAAGCATCAGACTGAACATTTATATAAACCAGAGGCGGAAACAAGAGGAGGGGTAAACCCTGGACAGGTCACCAAACGGTCACAGGGTAGATTTTATTTCCATTTGTTAAAACTATTCTAAACATATACTTTATTTTTATATTATTTTTGAAATTCTGTTAAAATCAGATAATTATTATTGGAAATGCTGCTTCCTGGACTAAACATGGACTCTGAAACTCATTTCTGACGTAAAAAAAAAGAAAAAAAAGAGGAAGTGCTCTTCGGCTGAGTATTTTGTCTATATCAGACATGAAATGCAGAACACCCTCTTCGTTTTGATAAAGTAGATAAGATATGCACTTTACTGATTGAAATGGGCTTTAATCTATAAAACTTAGTGTAAAGTTATCCTTTATTGTCTCGGTTTGTGTGACTCTTTTCTCTGTATAAGGGATTCTTAAACCACAGAGAGTTTTTGTACCAGTGCTAAGTTGCTGCTTCTCCGTCTTGTAGGGACAGGAAACAGAAGTTCCACATGTTCACCACAGAGCAGCTTCTGACTTCAAGTTGCAGAACAGCTCTCAGGAAAAGACATGCACATTTGTGCCTACATACAGAATAGCACCATTCTTTGGTGCATGCACAATTGCATCCATGAATGCACCCGTTCTTCAGCCATTGACCCAACTATGCACTTTGCAAGCTTTTGTACGAGTGTTTCTTAAAAGCTCATGCTGCCACCTCCACCCCCTGGCTTCCTGTCGTGTTAAAACAGAGCATGTTAGACAACCACAAACTGAGGTCATGTGACTCAGTAAGACTGCTACGATACGAGATCTCAAATCCTCTTTTCATCTCAATCAGTTGTCGGTTTGTGTCCGTTTTGTGTCACAATGACTTTAGAGAAGCTCTTCCGGTAAAAGTACACACAGGAACCAAAAAAAAAAGGGGAAGAGGAACAAGAGGAGGAAGGTGGACAGAGAGATGGACTCGACAGATGAGAACTGCAGTGCAGCTGCAGAGGCGAACGGAGGTGAGTTTACAGTGGATCTAGTTGCAGGGCATTGATATGAAGCTTGTACGTAGCTGCCAGTTGAAGGGTTTCAACTCTTGAAATTGGTTCAGTGATGCAGACGATGGACTCAATGATGAAAATCTAAATTCAGTACGTTTTGTGGTGGTGATCTAGATAGATGTCTGACTTTTGTCACATTTCTTTGTTCTGTGTCACTCAGCTTATCCGGTACGATGCACTGAGGAAGTACTTCTGCCTTTCTTCACAGATGAGAGTCTGCCGGCTGCCATGAACGTCCAACACCCTCCGGTCTCCCCGGGCACGCCACCCGCCCTCCAAGAACTCAGAGTGGTCCTGCTGGGCAGAAAGGGAGCCGGCAAGAGTGCCGCAGGGAACACCCTGCTGGGAGGAGTGGGCGGCTTCGAGAGCGGGAAGCCCACGGAGGAGTGCGTGAAAAGGCGAGCGGATGTTGTTGGCAGGAAAGTCACAGTGGTGGACACACCGGGCTGGGAGTGGTACTACCCACTCAACAGTACCCCCAACTGGGTGAGGAGGGAGACTCTGAGGAGTGTGACCCTGTGCCCTCCTGGACCCCATGCCGTGCTCCTGGTAGTTCGCTCCTGCGCTTCCATCACAGACAGCTACATCCAGGAGATAGAGGAGCACCTGGAGCCGCTGGGAAGGGACGTGTGGGAGCACACCTTGGTGCTTTTCACCAGGGGAGACGAACTGGGCCTGACCACCATGGAGCAGCGCATCCAGACCAGCGGCTCCGGGCTCCAGAGACTCCTCCAGAAGTGCAGCAGCAGGTACCACATCGTGAACAACTACAGCAAAGGAGACGGGACGCAAGTGAAGGAGCTGATAAGGAAGCTGGAGGCGATGGTGGATGGAAAGAAAGGAGGAAGGAGTCATCTGGAGCTGGACAACGGAGTCCTGTTGGGGCTGGAGGCGGACGGGAAGAGGAGAGCCAGGGAGAGGAGGAAGAAGCAGAGGCAGATGGAGGCGCAGATGCAGAGAGGGACCATCAAAGCCGCTCTCATGAGTAAGTCCTTCAGATTGTTTAATGCTGAAGAAGAGACTTCAAGAAACCATTGGATTACAAAATAAACTCTAGAAAAAAAACACTCTAATGGCCTCCATGTTGGAATGGCCACCATATATTCAGCTTTTCTGTAAATTAGACTTCATTGATGTGTTAAAACCTTGGTCTTCAGGACTGAAAAGATTGTATCTTGAGAATAGTTGTGTCATTTTTCTTTAAGTTTCATTTGAAAATCCAATACTGAGTTACTGCAACTCCAAGCTGACAGATCACACAAAATAAGACTTGACTCTAAGACCAATACCCACTGAAGTTTTTTCTGAAATAAGGGAACCTTCTTCATGTTTACATTTACATTCTACTGAAAAAAAAACAGCTTACAAATAATTGATGAGAATAAGAAAAACTAAAAACCAATTGCCTAATTCAACAGACTAAGCTTTTTTACAGCCTGTGTACATAATAATAGGGAAACACTTTATTATTTTCCAACTCCATTTCTGAGAATTGGAGCACACACAAGGGAGCTTTGACTATTCCTCTCTTTGAACAACCTTATGATCTTTTCTCTTTAGCTCATCCTGTAAGTTTTCTAAAGGGTTTATGTCTGAGGACTGGAAAGGTGTTGGGTGAATGTTTATGTTGTGTCTGGTGAAGGATTTCTGGTTGACTTGTTTGACATTTTTCCTGCCCAAACATCCAAGAATGACTCTTTTTAGATATTCATCCAGGGTCCACTGGTAAAAAAATGTTCTGATATTTCAAAGAGTTTGGCACCTTGTTTCTCTGACAAGGTGCCAAAGAGAAACAAGCCCACAACATCATGGGTCCTTTGTCGTACTTAATAATGGGCTTTAATTGCTTTCTTAGAAATTCAGGGTGTAGTGCACACACTTCTGGATTGTTTTTAGCTGGAAGTTTAATTTTAATTTCACTTGACCTAAGAGCACAGCTGCAGTAACAGTCCCAGGAGAGCTTTGTAAACTCCATGTTTACCTTTGTGATGGTAGGACAGGATGCTTCCCAAAGGACCAATAGGAATGTAGATTGAGTGTAATGATATGAAGGACTGGTGACCAAAACTGTTGCTCTTTGTGTCTCTGACAGTGAGCGTTGTTGAAATTTCTTTTAAACTCCTTTATAGTTTTATGGGGGGGGCGAAATCTGTCCTCCCCCAGCCCTTATTGTTACAGTTCCAGGTGTTTTAAACTTTTCAGTCATTTAGACAATTTTAGGCTAAATGTTAATTTCCTGACTTTGAAATTCAACATACTTGAAAACATGTTCTCTTGTTTTTCCTATTTTGAGAAGTGTCAACTACATGTTAAGTATTACTCACAGAACTAAGAGGTAAAAGAGTTTAAATACTTTAAAAACGGAAGCTATAAGTAAAAAATGTTTTAGTTTCATTTATATTTAAGTAGGTACTTATTAAGGGAGTAATAGTTGTGACACCAGAGATTTTTGTCAAAAACATTTTTTTTGAACATGTTGGTGTTTGTGTTTGTCGCTCAGTGAATAAATTAAAAATATATATTTTTTAGAACGAGATTAGCAGTTGTAACCTAAGTATGCCCTGTCCTCACAAGTAACCAACAAACCCAGTCAACACTGTTGTGACTAAAATTATTACTGTTTATCGCTTAACCTGTCAGAAAGATGTTTCTTAGTCCAAGTCTTGTGTTTTATAAAAAAAAATGAATTAGATGTGCTTCTAGCCGAAATTGTAACCTATTGGTGATTCTTGTAAAGCTAAAATAGCATTTTAAGCTAGCCATTAGCCAGCTAAGTACACAGCCATCGTTTCTTACGGAGGTACCAACACCAGAGGGCGCTGTTCCTCACTCACTGGAGATTCCATCAAGAAGAACAGGGGTGCCCAAGTCCAGTCCTCGAGAGCTACCATCCTGCAACTTTCAGATGCATCCCTGCTTCAACACACCTGAATCAAATGAATGGCTTGTTATCAGGCCTCTGTAGAGCTGATCCCGGTGTGTTGGAGTAAGGATACTTCTAAAACTTGCAGGATGGTAGCTCTCGAGGACTGGACTTGGCCACCCCTGAAGTAGAAGAAGGCGTGTTTGTGGCTGCAGCTAGCATAATTATTTTTGCTCATGACACCCCGAGACCATCCCATCCTGTGCTATATCGCTGGTGTCAAAACCAGCTGTGTGAGTGCAATAAGTTTAACCGGTAGCAGCAATCAGAATGCTTAGAAACCTGCTGAAAACCACTGTTCAAAATTCTCATATCGAAAGATTGAAGGTCTGGTTTAAAAGCTGATATCCCACTAGATGTTTTGAATTATGATGAATGTGAGAAACAAAGTGCAGGTCTGGCTGTTTGAACCTGTGTACTTGTTGCTGAAACAGTCTCCAGCCGTCCTGGAACTGAGCAGAACACCATGGGTGAAAATGAGTGAATACACATGCAGCTTTATAGTTTAGTTTTCAACTTGAGAGGGATTCAGAGTAACCTTTCAGAAGCAGAGTTGTCACCAGAGTCTCTTTAAATGGGGGTATAAATGTGCCCAAGGTGAGGTAAGCATGAATTACATGAGTAAATGCTGCTAAACCGGTGGAAAAACTGGGGGGAGTCATTTGATGGAAACAGTGGGAGGGATAGATGTTTCAAATTAACCACCAAAAACCAAGAAAAGGGGAGAACAACTCCCCTTTTATATTTTTATATTTTATAAACATATAAAATGTTTATATCCAGAAAACATTTTGCTTTCTGGATATAATGAGAAATGATTGCTAGCTGGAGGCATGGAAAGTTTACCCAATTGGTAATGTTTGACTGTCCTGCCAAACGAGGCGGACAGCAAAGTAAAATGCAAAAGTATGACATGGTGACAAAATGTCGAGCATAAACCACAGAGTAAAATCTGTTTATATCTTTCCCCTTAGGTGATGGACCCCAGGGTTCGGAACTGGATGCACATCAGTCCTTCTCCAAGGCTCCTCGGCGGCTCCCCGAGGTCAGACTGGTTCTACTGGGAGAGCGTGAGACTGGGAAGAGCTGTGCTGGGAACGCCATCCTTGGGAAAACGGGTTTCTTCGAAGCGGGAGCGGTGACGGAGGAGTGTGTCCGCCAGCAGGCGGAGGTGGCCAGGGTGATGGTGACCGTGGTGGACACGCCGGGCTGGGAGGCAGGAGTGGCCGGTGCCACCCCGGAGCGGGTCAAACGGGAGATCATGTGCAGCGTGGCCCTGTGCCCTCCGGGGCCTCACGCCCTGCTGCTGACTCTGAGGGTGGACACTCTGGTGAGGGCGGGACACGTCAGGGAGCACCTGGAGCTTCTCGGAGAGGGTGTGTGGAGACACACGATCCTGCTGTTCACCCACGGCGACCAGCTCCGCGAGGGGGTGGACATCAAGCAGCACGTCCAGAGCGGAGGCAGGGACCTGCAGTGGCTGCTGGAGAAATGCAGGGGCCGGTACCACGTGATCGGCAGCGGAGACGGAGGAGGACGAGGCAGCGGGGGGTCCGCAAAGGTGACGGAGCTCCTGGAGAAAGTGGAAAAGATGGCGACGATGAACAGATGCGAAGCTTTTTCCTGCGTGGTGCAGGAAGTTAGGGATCTGAGCCTCCAGAGGAACGAAAAGTTCAACCAGCGGCTGAAGGACATTGTGGACAAGATGGTTCGTCAGGAGGCTGAGTTGAAGAAGTTGAGGGACAGGGAGGTGAAGAGCATCAGGTGGTTCTTTGACAGGAAGAAGAAGGTGAAGTCGCCAGGAAAGGCCGATGTTCAAAGAGAGGAGGAGGACGATGAGGACAGACGGGTCGGTGAAATGAGAAACGACTTTGGCGATCTGGAGGAGAGGATGAGATGGCTGACGGAGGACAGAGAGAGGGAAATTCAGGACCTCAGCCTCGAAAACGAGAGGATCCGAGTGGCACTAAACCAACGGCAACAAGAGAAACACGAAGCAGAGCTGAACCTGGAGCTGAAAGAGAGGGAGATCGAGGAGCTGAAGGAAAGGACTGACGAGCAGCAGCTGAAGCTCCTCGATCTCGAACGCACCTGCGTTGAGTCCGAACACGAAAGGAAGCGACGGGAGGATGAAATCAGAGCAGAGAGACAGGAATGGAGGAAAAAACTTGATGAGAAGGAGAAAACTGTGGCGGTGCTTAAAAAGGAGAAAGAAGAGTGGATTGAACGGTTTGAAGCTTTACAAGTAAAACTGGAGCAGATTGAAACACACTATACTGATTCTCTAAGAAAGGAAGGAGAGAAAATCAGGGAGATGGCAGAGAGGGAGGAAAAACTGATGAAAGAGATGGAAAATCAAGACAAGCAGCTGGAAGGACTAAGGAGGAAAGCTGCAGAGGAAAAGCAGACGATGCTTGAAAACTTTAACATGTTGGAAAAAAGCATGGAGGAGCTGAAACTACAACACCAAAAAGAAATGGAGGAGAAAGAAACTCAGGTAAAAGACATAAAACTGCGGCATGAAGAAGAGATGACCAGAAAAACTACTGAGAGCGAAAGAAACATTGAGACAATGAGAGTTCAGCAGCAACAAGAAGTTCATAAGACATTAAAAGAAAAAACAAATGACATTGAACGACTCAAGCAGCTGCACGAGGAGGAAATTAAAAACATGAGGGAAGAACAAGACAAACGGGTAGCACAGTTAAATGAGAAATTTGCAAAAGAGAAAAGTGAACTTCTGGAGACAAAAAAAAGAGAGTTAGCAGAACTAAAACAAGCACATCTTACTCAGATGGAAGCAAAAGAGCAAGAAGGTGAGACAAACAAAGAGACGATTCAACTACAGCACAAAAAAGACCTGGAAGCACATGTTCAAGAGAAAAACAGAGAGCAGGAGGCCTTGAAGCTGAAACACCAAGGAGAAATGGCTACAAAAATAAACGAGATGTTTAAACTCATGGAGGAAAGAGAAGTTGACCGCAAGAAGGAAGTCAGTAAGATAGTCAAAGAAAAGGAAGAGGAAGTCAAAAAGGTCAGACAGGAATACACAGAAATACTAAGCAAGCTGGAGGGAGAGAGACAGAGAGAAAGAGAGGAGCTGAAGCAACAAATAGAAGAAGGAGAGCAGGAAAAACAGAGACGGATAAAAGAGTTACAGGAAAAGTTTGCTGCCCAAACAGAAGAAATTAGGCGAGAACGGGCAAGCATGTCGCAAGATCTGCAGCAGAGTCAAAGAGAAACTGACGAAGTAAAATGTGAACTGGAAAAGCAAGTTGAAAGCAGGGCAGCAGAGAAAGAAAGGCACAAGAAAGAGTTGCTGCAAAAGGAGAGAGAGATTAAGGAAATGAAAGCGAAAATTAAAGAATTGAGAGAGACAATCCAGCAGAAAGAAAATAGAGAGAAGGAGTTTCTGAGTGAAATTGAAAACAGGAAAACGGACAAAGAAAGATGCAAGAAAGAGTCGGAGCAACAGATAGAGGAAATGAAGGAGAAGCTCAAAGAAACAAAAGAGAAGATGCAGCAAACAGACGAAAGGGTGAAAGTCCTTTTAAATGACATGAAAACAATCGGACAACAACTAAAAGAAAAAGAGGAAGAAACTGAGGAGATGAAATTAACTGTTAAAGAAATGAAGGAAGAAATCAGAGAAAAGGAAGAGAAAGAACTCGTTTACCTGGAGTGTAAAAAAGACTCGGAGCAGAAACTGGAGAGAAAAGACCAAGAAGCTGAAAAGATGAAGGAGCAAATAAAGGAGCTCAAGCAACACTTGCAGCAGGCAAATGAGCAAAGAGAGAAAGACGGCTTGAGCAAGAAGAAGATGCAGCAAACCCTGGAAGAAAATGGCCGAGCGATAGAAAAGTTGCAACAGCACATAAAGGACATCGACGAGATTCTGCAGAGAAAGGACGAGGAGCGGGGCGAAATCATCCTGAACCAGAAGAAGGAGGCCGAGCAACGCCTGCAGGACACGGAGCGAAGGATGGAGGAGATGAGGCAAGAGTTTCTGGAAGACATGGAAAGCAAACTGAAAGAGAAGGAGATAGAGAATGAAAGCATCAAACAGCAGGCTGACTCCAGGGAGGCAAAATGGAGGGAAGAGCTGAAGAAGACAGAGGAGAGAGGAGTGAACGAGATAAACAAGCTTCTGGAGATCGTTGAGAAGAAGATGAAAGAAATAGCACAAGCAGAAAGATGTCTCGCAGAGAAAGAGGGAGAGGTCGACGAGCTGAAAAGACTATGCTCAAACTACTGCAAAGACATAGGCGAGTTGAGAGAGTGCAATGAAAAGTATACACTTAGTATAGCTGAGACACAGCAACGCCACGCAGAGGAAGAGAAGAAAATCGAGGCAGAAATGACGGAAAAGCTGCAGGAGAAAGAGCAAGAGCTCAAACGTCTGCTGCAAAAGGACAAAGACAACGAGAAGGAGCTCGTCCAGCTGAGGCTGACCATCGAGCAGACCAAGTCAGAGCTGAAAGAGCTCACCGAGAGAATGGAGAAGGAGATGACGAGCCTGATTCAGGAGTACGAGAAAGAGCTCAAAGAAAAGACGGAGAACATTGAGGCCGTCGCGAAGGAGAAGGAGAATCACGAGCAAAGTGTTCGGGTTGTCACAGAGAAATACGAGGAGAGCCAAAAGAGAGTGGAGGAGCTGCAAGAGCACAACGAAAAGATGAGAAAAGAGACCGAAAATCTCAGCGTCAAGTGTGAGGAGATGAGGAAGAAGAGTGAGGAAGAGGTTAGGGAGCATATAGCAACATGTGAGGAGAAAGTAAAGAGCTTAGAAGCTGTCGTTAGGGAGAGAGATTCAGAGGTGAAAGCATTACAAGAAGCCAACAATAAACTTCTAGGAGATTTGGTAGAGATTAGAGCAAAGGAAGACAGGAACAAGATTCAGATAAATGAGCTGATGGAGAAACAAAAAGAGCAGGCAGAGAAATATGATGAAGAATGTTTAAACAGAGAGAAATTAGCCAAGGACAGAGAGCGAGCTGTGAGGAGAGAGGAAGAAGAGCTGAGCAAAAGAAGAGACGACCTCAGTGCAAAACAGAAAGAACTTGCTGAAATGGAGATAAAGTTGAAAAATCAAGAATCTGAGCTTCAAGAACTCCAAGCTAGGCTAGAGATAAGAGAAAAAGAAGCAGAGGAAATGAATAATCAAATGATAGAGTTGAACTTAACAAAGCAGGTTATCAGGAAGAAGGAAAAGGAGCTGGATGCTCTGCTTGGAGCGCTGGAGGGCAAACAGAGAGAACTGAGCTCTCACGGTCAAGACCTCCAGAAGAAGGTCAGAGGTCTGAAGGATCAAGGGAAGGAGCTGAAGGACAGAGAGTGCTACCTAAAGAACGAGGAGCAGGAGCTGCTCAACTGGAAGTCAGAGCTGCTGGTGCAGAACGAGTACGTCAACTGCACAACGCAGGAGCTGGACGAGATTCGCCGGGATATGGCTTTGCTGAAGGAGGAGCTCCGTACCAGGGAGATGAAGCTCAAGGAGTCGCTCAAAGACATGAACAAATGGGAGCTGAATCTCAAAAAACGAGAGGAAGCTTTGGTCAGGAGGGAGCAAATGTCCGATGACAGCATTGACGAAACGGGGTCTTTCCATCTGTTGGCCGAAGATAACTTGCCTTTGATGGACCAAGAAGTCAAGGATGGGAGGGCAAAGGGAAGAGGGAAAGAGTCAGCCGTAGAAGATACTACTAGCCCCACAGAGACAAATGAATGTCACTTTGAAACACTCTTAGAAACACAACAGACTGAAGGAAACAAGAAGATCAGCAGTTTAAGGTCCCTACCAAACCACAAAGACCCGGGATGCGACTTGAGAGTGATGGTCCTGGGAGAGACGTGGTCTTCTCGCTCCCCAGCCGGAGTCACCATCTTAGGCGGAGAGGCGTCCAAGTTCAGCGGGTCTGACTTCAGGCCCTGGAGAGGTCAGATAGCCGGGAGGCGCCTGGCTGTCGCAGAGCCGCTGGGTCTGAAGTGGCGAGACGGACCCGATGCGACCGATTCGGCGCAACGGAAGAGCATCCTAGAAAGTGTCTCCTGGTGCCGCCCGGGCGCTCACGTCGTCCTCCTGCTCGTTCCCGCCTTCCTGACCTGCACGCGGAAGTACAGGAGGGCCGTGGAGGAGCACGTGGGCTTGCTCGGGGAGGACGTCTGGAGGCGCACGTTGGTGCTTTTCACCTGGGGGGAGATTCTGGGTGAGAGCGTGGATCAGCACATCCTGAGGAACGGGGAACTGATGGGGCTCATAGAGAGGTGTGGCGGCAGATACCATGTGCTGACGAGCAAACAAAACAACTCAAAGATCAAGGCGTTATTTGAAAAGATGGAAGATATAGCAGATTTAACTTTAGGAATGTGAGGACTGATTAATAATTATTGTTTTCTTGTGTATAATATGTAAATATGTTTGAATAAAAGTACCTAAAAGTCTAACAGTCTAATTTCTGCCACACAAACCTTTATTTAATACGTAATTATGTTTCTTCTTACCTCAAATAAATTAAATGAGTCACACATTAAAATATTTAAGGATATAATTGAGGAGTTGAATTGACTGTCAGGTTAAAATTTTTAAGAAATCATAAATCCTGAAGTGCTAGAGGTGAAAAAAAATCACTTTAGTAAAATACAAAAAACTGTAAAAACTGCACTTAACCGTGCTTTATTAACACCCTGTCTCCTGAATGTTTCATAAAGACTCATCATTCATTCATTTAATAAAAAAATAAATCATGCTGTAGGCTTGATTTAACATAGAAACCTCATCTGACCTCAACCATAATCGTCTCATTTCCTCCACTAGATGGAGCCCTTGAGTCGGTGTAGACTTCCTTCCCTCCCTCAGGGTTGAATGTATCAGTGTTGAAAGTCACAAATGGTGAAAAACATGATGGTAAAAGTATAATGAAGCCCCGTCAAACACGTTTCAACTGTGTTTCACGGGTTTCTGTGTAATGGTTACTTTTAAAAGCAAAGAGCACACAAAGCCTGACTATACCAGGCCCCTGTGCTTCATCTTTACTTGAGGCATTTCAGGAGAAACCGTCTTGCAATTATAACCCCAGGGAGCTGGCCGCACACTGAGAGGACCCCTGCTTTGACAAGTAAATTATGACTCTTGATGAGAGCATCGCGCCTCTTTCAAAATGCAATTTCTGACAGTCGGGCAAAAATGCAGGGGGATACATACAACAACTTCCATCATCATCTGCAGAGCCACATACAACATCCAAAAAACACTCGTGTGCAATCATCACGACTAATAATTATGGAGTGTGAGTGCTGGTCTGAATCCAACATGGCAACAGTCTTTTTTTTCGGGGTTTTTTTCTACCTATAATCTGTCCATTCAGTGTGAGCTGCCTTTAGACGCAAGATGAGAGGGTGTTGTGTCAAGATAGATCTGTCTCTCCTTTGATCATCTCTGCAGGATGGGTCTTCTTCTTTGTCAAAGCATCTGGGGAAAATTAAAGGGGGAAAAAGTTGTCAAATTGCAGTTGATGTAGACATAATTTTCATGCACTTAGCATAATGTTTTCATGCCCCAGGCACAAAATCAGGCTTAGTATCCCATAAGCAATTCTCTGTTTATTTTTTATTTTTTTTACAGTCTGAGATTCATCATCCTTTATATGATTTAAAATATTACAGAAAGTGATTTACATGTTATAGGAAATGTCCAGGTTGTGCCTCACCTTTCAACCAATGACTGCTGGAGATGGGCGCCTGCCCCTCCCACCAACCTGCAACTTTAAGACTAGACGATGGATGGATGTGTAATGGCTTTTATTTGTACATGTATGTTGATCAAGTTTTATTGTTCTTCTGTTACTCTCCACTCTTCGTAAGCAAACCCCAGTAGAAGTTTGTGCTCCTGTCAAACCTTCTGTGTTCAGTGGTGCAGGAAGATGTAATACCATCAGAAGTGTCCAAAATGTGATGATGTATCAAACTATGATTCCCATTTGGCCCAGAATGTAGGACAAGTTACTCTACTTTGGAATATGCTGGAATTAAAACAAGTTTGGTCAGAAAATAGCTGTAACATTTAACAAATGCTACTTTAATTTTGGGAAAAGTCTGTAGTCTGTAGTCTGTTTCTTTTAGTGAAAAGCCCTCTTTTCACTAAAAGAAAACTTTTAGTGAAAATTTCACATCACAAGCAGATGTGAAAGAAATGAGGTAAGTGGGACAGCAGCAGCGTCTTACAACATATTGAAAAGTGTTTATATGAATGAAGATTTGTAGATCTTCACAGAATAGCTACGTAGCCTGTTAGCTTGTCTAATCTAACTATAACAAAATAAACTATAAAACTTGTTCCTCAATAGTCACAGAATCAACACAGTAGCATTTATAAAGCTAACAAAACAAAATTTCATATTTTTGTTTTTCACATAAAAGTCATACTTCAAAAAACTGTTAAAAGAAGTCACATGTAGAGTTAGCATAGCAACATGCTTCACTGAGTGCAGCTAGCTAAGAGTCTCTACCAGAATGAAAGTGTTTAGGTTTTATGAATTGTGCAAGTTATCAGTGAGAGAAGTTAAATAAAACGTATTCAGTGATTAGCACTCAAAAGGAAAATATAGTTTTAACATTTCCCCTAAAGTGAATTTTTATAGTTCTGATGTTGAAACAATGTGTAGCTTTTAAACATTAAAGCAACATATATGGAGTTATGGCGTTTAAAAAATGCTGAATTTCTTTTGTGGATGAAGATCATTCTGCGATTTTGGTTTCTCATCAAAAACACACCGAAGTAATGTGTGTTTTCAGGGAAAACTACTTCCACAATGTTAAACATTTAGATTTAGTGCTATGCTGTGAGGTCCTGACAAGGTGAAAAAGTGGATGTGTGAATGAAGAATAAACGAGAGGGTAAAATTTTACAGATTTATTTTTTAGAGACCCCCAAACCATCAAACCCTTTTGTCGTTCCATTCCACACCATTTAGAAGACAAAAGTCCCGTCTTTCCGAACGTTTCCGGCTCCACACTGAGATTCCCACACTGAGTGTTGCCGGCTGATGGAACCACTTTTGAGCGCTCATTTTGGTTTTAGTTGGCACTAGTTCAGATTAAAGCAACACTGTAAGCCTAATTTCTCTTTATTTGCTGCCTTTTAAGGTCTTGATTGAGGCTTTTGGGAAAATATGGATGGGACCACATTTACATGCAACACAATAGACAGCGATGCACAGTCAATCACGTCCGCAAGCGCCGGAAACCAAATTACTGGGGCTGTTTTAAAACAGAAGTTAATGGTTGGGCTGATTTCTATTAAGGTCTGTGCACTCTCATTTGAATAATGGTCTTCCCTGCAATGTTTTTTTTTTTCTTCCTTTTCTGTTCCGCACTTGACCCAGGAAGGAAATGAATGTATTTCGGTTTAAACACCTCAATTAATATTCAAGTGGTTTTAATACTCCAGGTTTAATATGACTTCACCGTAATTAGCATTGCAGCCTGAAGCCAATTAATGATAAATCATATTCTGTGACTGCAGATTGATTTGATAAAATGCCACCACAAGCACAACATAAAAAAAAAAAAATGTTCTGAATGGGGCTCAAAGTTGATCAGTGTGAACTAGTAAGCATTTTTTTTTTATACGGCTTTTCATCTCTAACTCCTAAACAAATTAATAACATTCTGCCAAATAGAATAACTAATTAATAAATTAGCTAAAACGATTCTCAGTAGAAAGTTGAACTTTGGCTTCCTTGGGACAGATTTTGATGTATCGCCTTTTTTCTCTGAGCTGAGGCGAATCTTCCAGGTAGGTGAAAATGTAGTTATTTGCATGATTGCAAAGGTCAGTCAAAGCCTCTAGAGGGCAAGGATTCATATTGAAATTGATGGACCATGAGGAGGTGCAGACATGCCCCTCGTCGCCCTCAGTTCCCACCCCAACCACTTAAAGGGGGGTGGAGGGTAAATTTACTAAAGTTAGGCATTCACTGTTATCGGTAGATCGTGAAACACACCCAATGCTCAAAACTCCTCCTGCACGGACAGGATGCGTCAGCAAAGTAGTTCATAATGTTCCTACAGAGGAAATAGACTTTATGACACTAGAGGCTGTTATTCAACAGTAGGTCAGCAGGAAGAAGGACTGCCCTGGTTCTGGTCCAGAACGAGGTACTGAACAGAGAATAACTGTGTCATGAGCTGTGACCTCTAAATACAATGCACCCACTGAGATAAAACAAACAGGAGCTTGTTTTAAGTCTAAAATTCCTTAATATTTCCCAGTTCCACCGGCAGATTATTTCACTTGGTACCAGTATGGTTTTTAAAAAATATTAAGGAATTATTGACTTAAGAAAAGCTTCTGTCTCTTGCTGAATAGTTTACTGTATTATTTCAAGAGTAGTAAGATATTTGAACTTGAAACTAGACCAAAAATACTTTGTGAGATTTTGTGTTTTTGCACAATTGCTCACATCTCACCTACCTGTTGCATTTTGGGTATCAAATCTAGAAGATAAAAAACACAAGCTTTTCTGTGACATCAGTCAAAGTCACGTAAGACTTTTTTTTTTATCTTGTTTTGCTATTTTGCTGTAAACTGTTCAATGATAATCATAAAATCTTCGCTTCCAGCAACAGGTTTTTGTTGGAAGTAGTAAGAAATGCATCTGATCAAAGTTATTTAATTTTAATGCATCCTAAAGAGTTCTACAACTTTATTTGGAGTTCCTACCTGTGCTCTCTGCTGCTGTAGTAAAACGCTGAGCTGTATTTGAGAATGCTGCATAGATTTTAAGAAGATTTGGCAAAAAAAAAAAAAAAAACCTAGGAAGAAATGTGCTAGGAGAACCAGACCAGAAGATCTTTAGATCTATAACATGTTTACCCAAAGAGAACGTGTTCGGAAAAATTCACTAAGATTGTTAAAATAAGACGGTTGCCATAGCCACACTGTTTGATGAAAACATCCGTCATGGCTCGCTATTGTTCTCATATTCAAACGTTGACTCAAACAGTTACTTAAAACTCAAATGAAACTTGAAAACTTTAGAGTCGTGGCTAGCTCATCGTCAAGCACAATGCTTAGCAACAACGAATGAACAGCTTGATTCTTGTGGCCCTTTTGATGTCATCAGCATCAATGCATATAAAGCTGATTTATCTGTTTCATTCCTTCAATATATGTTTAAACAAACTGTATTTCATGATAGCATGCACTGGAAATGCATTCTCCATCACCTTTTAATGCAAATCTGATGTTTTTTGGGTTTTTTATCCCAGAAAAGCAAAACGTTCCTTCTGTGCATCTCTTAGCAAAAACTCAAAATATTACATACTTATATTTGTTTTACAACATCTTACAAAAAAATAACTGCTGTTGTTTTATTCACTAGATCCTTCAGTTTATTTCTCCCCCTCTGTATATATTCTCGTCTCCACTCGGCCCCCTCCTTCTCCGCCTC